TGACATTACTCATTTTTATGACCTTCAGTCCTGTGTGTTTTATTGACACTGATAGCTGTAGGAAAAAGAGAGCATATGAAATTTTGGTTTTAGTGAGTTAAATTCTGGGTTAAAACCATGCCTATAACTCCAGAATGCTTTCAGTTAAACCCAAGAATGTATCACAGTTCAAAAGCATACAATTAGGTCTCTAAATTGCCCTGTCTGTGATTCTGTGCCTGAGTGGGGGTCATGTGATGGACTGGTCATCTGTTTGCCAACAGGGCTCACCTTAGCCCTGTAGTCATGTGATGGAAAATAGGTGGAAATATTGTTGGTTATTTTAAAACAAGAGCATATGGCAATAATGAATTTAGTTGCTACAGCTGATGTTGATGAGATGTGTGTGATGTTTCGGAGTTTGCTATTTGAGGGCTGCTGTGTGCATCATGAGTGATTTCAGCCCTTTCAGAATCCCTGAAGTATAAACTGGAAAGCAGCTGTATCAGAGGAATCAGTAAATGGAAGATACCAGTTCTTAGCAAACAAGGTGGAGATACTTGTCCATATTTCTACTCTAGGATGTGGATTATTTTTGGAAATCAATCAAAAACCCTTTTTTTAAATTCAGTTTAGCAAACTTCTCAATATGGCCCTTGTTTGTGGCCTTTTTCTGACCTTTAACATATGTCATTGAATGATTACAATATGAAAAATGTTAAAGCCAAACTTCAAATATAGGAGAAACTGGTCAGAATTTGCTATTTTCTTTATAAATTAAATAGTAACGTTCCCTTAAAGGGCCCAGTGTGATTTAAAAAAAAAATTTGTGTGTGTGTGGAGCACAGCTTGTCCTGGCATCTCTCGATAGCTAGGGCTTATGATGTTCTCACCTTGATCAGATCTGGGTTGTTTGCCGAACAGTTTGACTGCTGGCTTTCCTCCTGTGTGCAGAAGCAAATTAGTTTGACTTGTGTGTTTTTTTGCCTCAGTTTGGCAGTCCAGTGGAAATGCGTGTGAGCCTGGTAAAGTGTCTCTCTACATGGAAATGATGCGGACTTTCTTCTGTCTCCCGCTCTTCCAAGTCCTTTTCACATAACTCATTTTCTCAAAATGTTTGTGTTAATCTTTTCCATTTAATTGATTCTTCAGGACTCTGGATATATTGTGTTCTCTGAACCATCAGTTGAATAGCACAAAAAGATTTGAGTAATTAAGAAGAACTTACTCTAAATGGTTCAAGGTCTTCATGTCGATTTTATTTTATAGTGCACATTCTACATACTGATCGGTTACTGGCAAGTGAAACTGCGTTCACCCTTTCTAGGGACGTGTTTTTAAAAAATCAGAATAATGACTGTCAAATTCATCCAGGTTAAGTACATGAACTGAGGTGGCCTGGCGCCTCATGGGGACATTCCTGTGCAGCACTAAGGAAGCTTTGTCGCCCAAATAGGGCTGCTGACACAGATGATGTGTTTATGTCAGGGTGTGGATCTCTCTTCTTATAAAGGCGTGTTACTGCTTTGCAATAAATGTCGTCATCATTATCTTGTACTGTTTAATTTTCTGAAATATTTTCTTCTTGAAATGTAATTACTTTGCATACATTAATACACGGTTAGCATTAATATAACGGTGATTTAGAAGTTTCCCATGAAATCTGTTACATTCTGCCAAATAGACCCTAATATGTAAGGTTAAGTATGTTGATTAAGGATAGAAATACAGAGCGTCTACTGAGGCCTGGACTGGAAAGTGGCTGTTCACTAGTGTAGGTCCTTCTCTCCCTGACTGATATTTATTTATTATGTAATGCCATTTTTTACACTAACAGTTGATCTCAGCCCTTCACTCTTCACTTGTAATAAATCACTGTGAGCTACTATGGTTTGACATAAAAAGGTCATGTTCTTAATATATACATATGTATGTAGAAGATCAGGAAGGTGATATGCTGGCTGGGATGCCAGTTCCTCAAATATATATTCATCTATTTGCTAAATCTCTAAATGCTCTGAAAGCAAATCAGGAACACTGTCTGATGGACTGTTTATGTGCTTCTTGTTCCAAAATACCCAGTAAAAAAATAAATAGCAACTTAAAAAAATTCCATATTTTCTAATGTCTTTGAAGAAACTTTTAACAAAGCAGGGTGGATGTTTGTGGTGACTTACAATGCAGTTCAGTATCACACCTGGGTGTATAATTTGTATTTCAGTTTCAGTGTAAACAGTGTTATTATTGGCAGGTGCCACTTTTTTTTAATTGTTGCATAAGACAGAACTCTTTGGGCTGTACCTCCTGTAACATCAGCCTACAGACGCGGCAGCCTTCTCAGATTCAGCTGATTAAAAAAGGATTTTCCTGTAACTGTAGAAAGCTTTAATCCTCATCTCTCACACTCCCCACCTCACATTTACATATGCTTTCTCTGAAGGCATCTCAGCCTTTACGCAAAGTCATGTTCAGAAATACCACATTATTTTTATGATTATTATTTGTAATTATTTTCCGAGAGGCTGGGGCAAAGCTCAGCCAGATTCTTTTAACTGGCAAAAGAGACAACAAATGTAATTTAATCCCTTGGTTCTTTATTTAGTTGTGAGGATACTGTTTACAGTCATTGCAGAAATAGGATCAGGGCAATTACATGGTTTGGGGGACCTTTTTATTTATTGCTGAACTTGGTCTGGCTTCAGAGACACTGAGAAAACATCCTAAGAGCACATCTTTTAGTGTTATGACTAAACAATGATGGATGTATTTTTCTATATGTACATGGGTCTGCATGTCTTATTTTTCTCATATAAAGCCTGTAACTATTCTTTATGTATGTTTTTTCACTGCATAAGTGACACCAGCTGCATTGCAACTGATGTTTCCCAGGGTGTAGTCTGTTTTATGGTAGTGAGTGAGGTTTTAATTCTGTGTTTTTTTTTTATTCTGAATAGTGGGATGGGTCTGCTTTGTTTTATTAGTCATCTGTGTGTGTGTGAGGGGGGGTGTTTTGTGATAATACTTTATCAGATTCTCCTCTCCAAACATATATTGTTGGGAAAACCCCAATAAAATGGATTTTTCATCTGCATTTTTTTTTGCTAAAAGTTCCATATGCTTTAGCTGGTTGTTAGTTTTATAAATGAGAAAAATCTGTATTTTCCAAAATCCAAATCATAGATTAAAGATGGAATTGCATGGGTGAATGAAAAGCACAGTACCAACGCTTTTGCTTTTTAGTGTTACCCCAGCTGCACTCATGGTGGGGGGTGGGACTGAAGGGGTCTGGATCAGGGGGAGAGGAAAGCCTGAATTCTTAAAGGCACACCGTCTTTGTTTTCCTAAATAAAGGAATGTTTTTTACAAAGAAGCTATAAGGAATTTGAATGTGTTTTGGCTTGAATACAAAGTTGTATGTTGTGTTTTGCATGTATACTATATACTGCTAAAAAAATTGCATGTATTACAGATCAGTATAAAGCCATAATGATTAAGTACACAAATTTTAAAACCAGCCGTAAATGACTGACTGGTCCTTTAAATATTTGAAGTGTATGGCAGTGAATGGTTTCATATTGTGGTACCACAGTTACAGAAAGACAGAATGCCTACTCTTTCTCTGGTCCCCCCCACCCTATCATGGTTGCAAACTAAAGCACCACTTGTGGAACCCCCAGAACTTTCCACATTAAAATACACCTTAGCCAAAATGAGAAATATATGATTTAAATTTTTTTTGCATCATTTTTATCATAAGTGACCCCTGTATTGTAAAATATTACATAAAATGTACACTACATTCATTTGTTGACGTGCCAAAATATTTACCAAAAAATTATTCAGGTTACTATTCTAATCCATCTGACATAAATTGACTGATTTATTTTGGGGGAAAGATAATATTTTATATTACATATGCATATGAATATTAGGTTTTCACCTAAGGTTATACATCTATCTCGATTCCACTTTACAATAAGGCTCCCACTTTTTAATGGTAGTGATTCATTACTGAAAATTGAACTTGTTTATAATTGTCTGTTAATCATCTATAAAGTGTTCACTTAACCTGTTTATAAACCATTTAGAAACCCTTCATAAGGGTAGTCTTATTGTAAAGTGGTACCCTATTACTAAGACCGCATTGCTTATTCATACCTTTGTGTGAAATAAGTCTTCACGTGGTCTTCAGTGTTTACAACAATGTCTGATTCCTTGTTTTGAACTGCGATCTGTTGTCTGCCTTAGTTAATGCGCTAGACATTTATTTGTGGGGAGAACATTTTCTGGAAAGAAAATGTTACAGAACCTTGTGGGCCATTTCTTCCAGAAACAGATGTGAATCAGATGTATTTGTGCAGTTTGGTTTTCTCCGTCCTTGGGAATGAAGAAGTTGTTAAACAAGTAGCGGCGTGTGGTCAGTGCCTTGCTCTGTAAAAGCATGACGTTAGAGCTGTGTCGCACACTCAGGCATGCGTTTGCTTTCTACTTCCACCGGGGCCGTGTCTGTCATGGAATGTTACTGCTGCTTCTGTTTTACTAAACAGGCTGAGCAGGTGGGAGGAGCTTCTGTCACCTTCCCCACCCATTCATAACTAATGTGCTTTGCAGTCTGCCTATTGGGAGATTTTTCCCTGCAACTGACCCCCCTCCTCCAACCAATCAGATGCATCTTATCTTCACCTCCCTCCTCCCCTTTTCATATACCGTTCAATGCTGACCGAGCATGCAAGTGTTTATCAGCTGCTACGAAATGAGCTGAAAAGGCAAACTGAAGTGCAGTGCAGCTGGTACAAGCAAAGGGAGAAAGTGAAAGAAGGAGCACAGGGGAGAATGGGCAGTGTGGCTCCCAGTGTAAGCTGCTTTTTTTCCTGGTTTTGTGGGGGAAGGGGGGCTGACAAAGGAGAAGCAGAGTTAAGGTTAAAAGCAATTCCAGAACTGATATCACATCAAGAAAAATAAAGTAGATTTTTGTGTATATTTTGGTGTTTTACTGATTACCATGATGTTTGTTTTTCTAGGAAATAGCCCTCAGATTGGGGAATTGTCTAATACTACTTGTCCTCAACCCGGATTCAGTGCTGCTTCAAAGTGGAAAAGAGAAGATCAGTGTGACACGTCTTACCATATTCATCCACGACAGGACGGGCAGAGGTGTGGAGAGACGGTGTGCGAGAGCGTTGCTCGTCTAGGCACAGTAAGTCTCACATGCTGTCGTACAGCGTGCAGTGCAATGGCTCTGAAAAAGGTAACAGACTTGACAGCGGGAGACAGAGGACCCACATGGCTCTGTGCAGCACCGTGTCCCAGTTTGAGAGTAAGAGAGCCCCTCTGCTTAATAGCAGAACACCTTTTCACTGGAGTTCTGGTGCTTTTATAGCACCCCTACAACTTCCCCTGTACTCCAGGTGTCAAACTTAAGGCATGTGTTCACCACCTCATTTCATTCGGCTCCCATGAGCTTGCAAAAAATATTGATGTAGTGCCTAATCCAGCCTATCCATCATCTAAACCATCGTTGGGGAACCTGATGATCCATAGTGGGCCAGTGTGGGTGCAGGTTTTTGGGATGACCTCTGTCAGCCAGTAATAATGCAATGGTCCTCAACTCCAGTCCTGGGGACCCACTGTTATGAGGCGCTTTCACACTGAAGTTCTGGTAGCTGGTCCCTGTTTTCAAGTTCCTGGGCTCGACCGGGACTTTTGTAGCTCCTGGCCACTTTCATCAATCGCTTTCTCACCGAACAACAGGAACCAAGGCCTTTATGCTGAATAAGCATGGGAGATGGAGAAGAAAGAATCTGGTAGATTAAATTTCATGCATAATTTCATACAAAACTACACCATCATCCTAAATCAATGGAGGATGAACAAGGCGTTTTGTTAGTTATTGGGGGATCGATTGCAATCAAAACCGGATGCAGCTTTTTATTTATGTTTTGTTTATACAACCCATGACATTTATACTTTTTAATTAAATCTGGATAGCAGATTGATCTTTCCTTTTCCACAGAATAAAATACGATGTAACGTTATCCCATGAATAAGCTTAACCGCCAGCATTGCCGATACTAAACAAACGTGTATTGGTTATTTAATTTTCTGATACAGAAATATGGAAATGCAAGCAAAAATGTATTAATTTATGCTTTAAATATAATTGAGGTACAAAAATAATTCCATCTGCCCAATTTTTGCTCCGCTACTTCTCTTTTCCCTGCACTTCCATGAAACTTCCAAGTTACCACCGGTGCTAGTGATCAGTAAGTTATCTCTGTTAGCGCCTCCCCAGTAGTTTGAGTTTGAGCAAAAAGTACCTACTCTGGAGTAGGCATCAGTGTGTTCGTACTTAGAGTGTATTGCGCTGTCATGGTTCATACTTGTATAAGGAAAAGCAAACATTAAAAGTGTCTAGGAAGCTAGTAGCACATTACCAGAGATTTTCTAGGAAATGGGAAAAGTGAAGATAGTGTTTTCACACTCTTGATGTAGGATACCTATAAAAGAATGAAGTGTGTGTGTGTGTGTGTGTGTGTGTGTGTGTGTGTGTGTGTGTGTGTGTGTGTGAGTGAGTGAGTATAAATAGAATCTATGGAGTAGAAGGCTGGTAATACTTTGATTCTTAATATAAGTTATTTCTTTCTGTAAGTATTCTGATCTATTGCATGGGTGTAACAGAATGGGATGGCAAGGTTCCAAAAGATGGTGTTTATTAATTAGCACAAAACTAAACACGGTCTGCTGAACAGGAAGAACCAACTGTCAAATAAAATGAAACCACAAGCTGTTTGCAGGAGGGGCAGTGCTTCGTCATACTTGTTTCTGGTTCTCCTTTCAAGTCCATCCTGCTGGCCCTCTTATTTCTGAAAGCCCACGGCAGTCTTGTTGAGGTCAGCAGGGCTCAATCCACAGTAGCTGATAGATTTACTTGTGTTCTGATTCTGACCAGTTAAAAAAATTTAGTTCTTTTATTTAAATTGATGCTCTTGAATGTATTGTTCAGTCAGTTATTAAAAAGTTCTTGTTTGTCCATTTAGTTTCCTTTGATAGTGGTAAACTCTAAACCATGTTCACTGTCAGCGCGCAGACTTTCCAGGTGATTTGGCTTATGGCTCTGAAGACTTTGCTCTCTCTCTTGTGGCTGTAGTTGTTCTGCAACAACCTAGTATCTTGAGCATGTCTCTAGGGCAAGCAGCTGCTAGTCTAAAGCCCAGTAAGAACAGCTGTAGTATCATTTGCATTTTTTTCCCATTTTTGTTCCCTTGGCTGACTGTGATATCAGTCATGAGCTATTGCGGTATTGCTGGGTGAAACCCACCTGAAGTTCTGTTCTCAAAGTAATACAGGCTATGAACTGGGTTCTTCTGGGCTTTGTGTTGCATTAACTGTACCTGTATTTCCAGGTAATCGTTCACATGCACAAATATAGATTAAAATAAAAGCAAAAGAAAAGTCCACTAATCTTTAGTGCAGTTATAAATATGTGTGGACTTATGGGAATCTGTGTGCAGTTTTGCTTTCCTCATTCTCATTCATGGAATACTTGATCAGTGTGGTGAATAATATATGCAAATACATGCCCAAATATCATGCTGCAAATTTTGGCAGCAAAATTAGAATTTTTAGAGGTGGTAATTGTTTTTTTGATGTGTTTTATAGTAGCCATGCAACCAAAGGCTGCTGGTGATCTGATCAGCAGTAACATTCCATTTTGTGATCTAGAATGGTAACATTCCATGCATTTGCTTTGTCATGCCACATCTGTTCATGCAAGAAGCACCTCAAGCTATGTTTGAATTGGAGATGAAAGATTGTTTCTATGAGTAGATACGCGACCAAAGCTTTAGGGTATTTAGTTAAAAAATGTATGTGTCTGTTAGATCTACCCCCCCCCCCATTTAAATAAGCCAAATACATGTTCCCCCTGTTATAGTATATTACTTTTGAATCTACTTGAACTCCCTTGTTCTCTCCGTCTCCTCTCTGTGATTTGAAAGTATTTCAATTGAGATGTCTAATGAAAATTTAGAATGGGCACTTTTGAGGGATGGAGGAATGTTTTATACATTATCATTGACCATTTTCACAGAGAATTAAGTCCATGGAATCATATTTACAGTTCTGTTTATGGCCTGGAAGCAGGGGTAGTTTCAGAGGAATAATTTAGGTCTACTTGAGCAAAGTTTTATGGCATACCACTAAACCACATAAACTGGTATTCTCACACAATGTAGGCTGTCCTATCAAGTCCATTTAGGTACTTTTATCTGGGTGCATACTGATGCTAAGTCCTGGGTGCTGTATCTGGGGTTTTTTTTTTTTTTGGCAGTTTCTCAGTTTTTAATTTTTATATATAAGTTCACCCCTAACATGGCACCATGCGTTTACATCAATAAAATACGTTTGTTAATAAAAACACACCTTTTAAAAAACATTAATTATATGAAAATCGTTTACACTTAGCTTGGTAATATAATTGACATGTTTTATTCGAGTATTAATGTTTATTCAGCTTGATAGCAACATGCTGATACCAAGCTAAACAGCATCAATCAATTAAATATGCCTGCATGGAGCTATAAATACTGTAATGCTGAACAGTTATGATTACCGCCCTGTGGCTCTGACCCCAGTAATAATGAAGTGCTTTGAGAGAATCCTCCTAAAGTATATCAAGGATGCCATCTCTGTTAAATTTGACAACCATCAGTTCACCTACAGGAAGAACAGATCTATAGTGGATGCCATCTCAATAGTACAGTGGTATCTCAGAACCTAAAAACTTCATGTTCTGATTCGAATTTTCCCCTTAAGAAATAATGGAAAACCAATTAATTGGTTCCCGGCCCCAAAAAATTATACCTAAATGTGTTTTTTTAGCATTTAAACACAAAATGAACAGGATAAAACAAAAAGAGCATATATTAAACACATTTAACAAAACAGTAATTTGGTCACACCATGCGCAGGACAAGCGAGCAGGGAATCAGGGTCAGGCAGACGGAAATCCAAGAACACTGGGTTTATTGCTGGCCAACAAGGCACAACACGGAGTACACTTCAATGACAGGACCAGGGAAACATACTTGAACACGGACTCAAATACACATGACTAATTTTAAATAACGAGAAACAGCTGATGACATCGGGATATCACACGAGGTTAATGAGGAGGGCGTGGCACACAGGAGGATCGTACGAGCCGGGCGTGACAAATTTGTAAAGCAAGAACATAAATGTATCTAAACAATGTGCAATGGCTACCAAAATGATGTAAAGTACAGTGTATTACCTGATATTTTCTATTAAAAAGCACTATCACTAACAAAAAATGCTATCGCAATGAATGCGAGGCTGAGACTGAAGCGTTACCCTTTGTTTCCGCTGAGAGACGTGCCGCGTGATTCATTTCCCCACGCATACAAGTTATCTTAGGTCGGTGTTTATGGTTTGACTTAAGAGATTCAGATCGAGTTCTAGGTAATTTTTTTTTTCCGAACTGGTTGGTTCGACTTTTAAGAAATTCAAGTTCTAATGAGTTTGAGTACTAAGGTACCACTGTACTTCACACAGCCCTGCCTCATCTACAGTGCCCTAACACCTATGTTAGGATGCTGTTCATCGATTTTAGTTTAGCATTTAATACTGTAATCCTGGACAAGCTGGTACAAAAGCTATATAATCTGGTTTTGTCCACATAGTCCCTGATCCAGCGAGACAGCTTTCTTACCAACAGGCCTCAGGTGGTTGGAGATTGTACATCAGCTACACTGGTTCTGGACACAGGCACGCCACAGGGTCGTGTGCTCAGCCCAGCACTCTTTACGTTATTTACGCACGATTGCTCTGCCATCCATGCCACAAATATGGTTGTGATGTTTGCGGATGATACGACTGTGGTGGGTCTCATATCAGATAATGATGAGGCTCACTATAGAGAGGAGATACAACACCTAGCACTATGGTGCTCAGTTAACAACCTCATCTTCAACACCAGTAACACCAAAGAGGTCATCGTGGACTGTAGGAGGTCCAGAAGTACAGAACATGCTCCTATACTTGTATGTGAGGAGGCTGTAATGGGTGTGGACAATATCAAATTTTTGGGTAAACACATCACATCGGATCTGACCTGGTCTTTGAACACATCTCATCTGGTAAAGAAGGCCCAACAAAGATCTTCTTCCTCAAGAAAATGAGACGTGCTGGATTCTCCTCTCGGCTGCTCACAAACTTCTACAGATCTGCTATAGGAAGCATTCTTTGTCACGGAATGACCGTGTGGTACGGCAACTGCACAGCACAGGACAGGAAGGACTTGGCACGGGTGGTGAGAACAGCACAGGGGATTGTAGGAAGTCCTCTCCCAGACCTGGACTCTCTATATGCTGGTACGGTGCCGAAGAGGGCCAAATGTATAGCTGCAGATCTCACCCGTCCAGGAAATGGACTGTTTGTACCACTGCCTTCAGGAAAGTGGTACAGAAGCATAAAAACATGTACTAGTAGACTGAAAGACAGCTTCAACCCCAGAGCTGTGAAGTCCATCTGCCCCTGCTGATGCACACGCATACGTCTACCCCTAACCCGCCCCCCTGTAGACGTGCGCACACGCATACGTCTACCCCTAACCCGCCCCCCTGTAGACGTGC